GTAGACGATCCACTTTTCATCTCCCGTAACCAACCGCTTCAAAAATGGATCGTTTTCTTGGCGTTTCAGCAGCGCGTCGCAGATGGAAATGCGAGCGGTTAAGTTGGCCTCGGTCAATTCGTGCGGCACCCAAACATTGAGGCGGGAAACGTATCCCAACTGACGCAAATGGTTTTCTACACTTGTGTGGGATATATTAAGTGTCGTAGCAATCTCTCGTACTGTTTGCGATGGATTTTTGTCGACGGTATTCTTTATTACAGCTGGATCAATCTCTGCTGGACGACCAGAACGGGACGCGTCACTAACATCAAAATCTCCAGAACGGAATTTGACAAACCATTTTTGACACACACGTTCTGTTAAAGCATCGTCCCCATACACATTACAAATCTTCTTATAAGCTTCCGCAGTTCGTTTGCCTTTTTTGAAATAAAAAAATAAAATATGGCGAAAATGGACGTTCTTTCCTTCCATATTTGCAACCGTGCAGTACGCACAATACTCTGGTATTAACCGGCGTATGTTTACAAATAGGTTAGGTGGAACGTCGCTTTTCAGCTGCGCAAGCGCGTTATGCGATAGCGCTGTGGAAAAGAGATAGCAGAACCAGTAAACCTACTCCGATTAAAAAACCGAACGAACTTATTTGCCAACCCAATATTTATTATAGTTCATCTCTATTAATATAGAGGATAAAGGAAATCTTATAGCGGGACATGCTGTATAATTATATTTATTTAAAACAAATTACTTAACTTCGTACACGTTTTATACGAAAACAAATTTCTATAACTAGTTTACACGATTTCCTAAAATATTTCTAAAAGATTTTAATGAAATAAAGCGTAAGATGTTTACTATTGATGGCTCTACGCACCAATGTGAGGCTTTTTAAAAACAATTTTTTTTCTCAAAACGTTTTATCCACAAAACGTTTTCAAAATGTTAAAAAATTTCAAGAAAAACTATAAAATTTTATAATTTTTATATTTCCGAACTTTTTAATTATGGCTTATAATTTTTATATTTTCAAATTTTTTATATAATTGTAGCTACATTATAAATATTTTTTTATTTTTTATTTTTATATTTCCGATGATTCTGCCTAGAGAAATTATACCAACCAAATTATTAACTTCGAATCGACATATACAAATTCCGAGCTAATCGCATTTCTAAAATAAGATAAAGATTAATTTAAAGATAGCAAAATGATAGCTCATATTGCACATGATAATTAAAAACAATATTTTATAATTAAAACTACATAATTCTGACTAAATTCTGACACAACTTTATATTGTGCAGAATTTTGATCAAAACTTATCTTATTTTAATGATAAAAGGTTATTTTGAATTATCCTATATACTAAATAAATCCATTTACAGCTTGAAAATACTCTATTACATTATTATTTAAAAAAATTCCTAAAATTCATTTTCATTTTGAGTCCTCTAAGATGGCTTAACTCCTTAAATTTGGACACCTTAAATACGTCGTCCAAAATTATCTTTATTTAACTCTTTTTGTTAATAAGTTTTTAAGGAACAATGATAGCTAATATTTTTTAAATATTACACAAAACGATGACACTGACAATATATATCAAAGTTATTGAAACTAAATTTATTAATCGAAATATTTATCTTTTTTCTATTTATACATTAAATAATTCTACATATTTTTAATAAATTCGAAGTTATTGTATACTTATACATACCTCATTTTCAATATCATTTGTATTGTCTTCCATAGGATATAAACATTGTATTAAGAACTGTGCTTGTCGTTCAAATTTACCTGGATAATAAAAATTTAATGGAAAAGGTAGTACTTTGCAATACCATGGTCTAACTAATTCATCCAGATTTTTTTTGTCTATCCACCTAAAAATAATAATAATCGATTACATATACAAAGCCCGTTGAGAAACATGCCACCTGTAGGCTCCCGATACTCTCCGGGAGATTGACTCCATAGTACTAACGTTGCACTAGCGCTGTCGAATATAAACGTCTGACCAATTAATGCGTCAGAATTTCGAACACGGAAACAGTGAGACATTCAAATTCGACAGTACTAACGTAGCGCTAGTACCAAGCGTCAGTCTCTCGGACAGATACGCATTGAGAGCCTACAGATTACGCGTACTTCAACACTTTTCCACATTCAGCAAAAGTATCATGTTTCTTGTTATATACACAGTGAAAACGACTCATAGAGGACACTTATCGGTGTGTTATTAGTGGCACACATACACACATATGTACATGTACACACGTGCACACATATATATTATTAGGTGCTTGAATTAATTCTCGCTGTTTTTGTTACAAAAACTCATGTTTACTCCAAAGAACGATATATTATATTTTATTCAAAGTTCGTCTTTCGGAAACTACAATCTTTTCCCACTTCTCGGGTAACACTTGGATTCCGCGGTATAAAAATTCAGGTTCTTTCGAGGCGATTCAGTCATCGAGCCATTTTTTATATCTCCGAAAGAACTAAAGTGCTGCTCAGAAAGGCCATGCTGCATCAACCAAAACAAATAATAATTTGAAGGAGCAATATCTGGTAAATAGAGCGGGTGGGGTAGGACATTCCACCCAAGTGCCTCCAAGATTTCCTTCACTGGTGTGATGCAACGTGATCTAGCATTGTTATGGAGAAGAATGATTTTGTCCTGTCTTTTAGCGTATTGCGACCGTTTTCCTTTGAATGCTCGATTCAAATTGAGTAATTGACGTCGGTAACGTTCAGCATTGATGGTTTGACTCGGTTGCAACAGTTCATAATGCATTACACAACACCTACTTGATCCTACCAAATGCGAAGCATGACCATTTTTCCTGATGTATATCCTGTTTTGACGTTGATGTTGATGGTTCGCCGGGACGCACCCGTGATTTCTTGGGTGGGACTTGGAATTGTCGTAATGAATTTATTTTTCATCGCCAGTCACAATTCGATGCAAAAACGACTTTTGTTTTGTCTTTGAAACAGCAATTCACAAATGGTTAAATGTTTCGCAATGTCTCTTTCTCTCTTTCTCTCAATTCATGTGGGACCCAGTTTCCTAGTTTCTGGATCATTCCTATTGCTTTTAAACGTTTGCTAACGGTTGACTCATCGACATTTAATGTGTGACCCAGACCCCGCCGCTCGGTGGACGTTCGCCCCTACCCCGGGGCCGGTGGGGTGGTCGTGCGGTGTCTCTGGTCGACCGTGTTCGGTAACGGTGGCCCTGGTATAGCTCGCCGGATGCCCAGGCGTTTTTGATGTAGGCATGAGTATGTAGGTATGTGAGTGAAAGCGCGAGTGAGTGAGCGAATAAGCGAGTAATTGTTCAAGAAAAGATTCGTTTATTATCCCACGTTGTTTTGTACAAAATCGACGGGTCGCGCTTTAATCTCGTCGTTTCAAACCAGCTAATATTCCGGTGACAATACTGGCAACGGAATCCCGTGTTTACATTATGACATTGGCTTAGTCGGGGTTATCTTCTCGGAATCTATTGGGAGCAGACGTAACGCTCGGCCCGTGGAGCTCGCGGTGTTAGCGGCGAGCGGGCGCGGTGTTGACGTTCGGTGTGGTAGTTTGACGTTTCGCGGTGTTTAAACTCGACGGTTTCGCATCGGAGTGCAACGGCGGAATGCACCTGCTAGATTCGGCGTCGCGGTACGCGGGTCGCGGTGGTTGCCGCACGCGGAATGCTCGCGTCGGTCGACTCCCGGAGCGGAGGGCACGCGGTATCGCGCCTCATTACAGGAGCGGCGGAGTCGGCCGGGCGAGCCTGGCCAACGTGCAGCCGGCGGCGGTAGTTTCTCGATTTCACGGCGGATACGGTGGTACCTCCGGTGAGGTGCGGCGGAGAGACACGCGTCGTCTCTATATTCGCGGCGCGGTACGCGGAATGGTACTCCGGGGCGTTCGCATGCCCCGGAGGCGCAAGACCCGGTGACCAGAGTAGAGTGGCCGAGATCGAGAACACTCGACAGAGGCGGCGAACACACCGCCCCTACTCGTGCCGATCCCCAAGTCCGTCACGGGCAAGAGGGCCGGGAGCTCCCAGTGGAGACGGCGAACACACCGTCCCGAGATGGAGGTTGAGGAGTCCGGTGCCCGCGACTTCCACGGGAGAGACAGCGTACGCGCTACCTCAGACTTTCCGGATGGAAAGATATCGAGTCGGCTGCGAACTCACAGCAGTGACGGCGTACGCATCGTCGCTGTCTCTCGACCTGGGGATCGGGATCCGGAGCAGCTCCGATCTTACGGTCCGGCTGACTCCGGCGGAATCAAGTCCCGATACTGCGGCGAAGCGGTCTTTTATACCGCTCCCGAGACGTTTTTCCGACACGTGCGCGTTTGACAACAACAATTGTTGTTGTCAACGTGTACACGTGTCGGACGTGTGCGCCGCGCGTGGAGTTGTTTATTGGCGCGAAGCGCCGTTCTGCGGCCGACGGATGGTCGGTCAGTCGCGGTGTTTGGCGGGTGGAATGCATCGTCGCAAATGTTTCCGACAACTCTTTGAACATCTGACATGAATCTTCTCTCAGTAATACTTCCAATTCTTCATCTTCAAACTTTTTCGGCTGACCAGGACGCTCTTTGTCATTCACGTCAAAATCATTGTCTTTGAATCGCCTAAACCAAGGTGTTTCAGATCATGCTCCTCATAAGTCTCCACTAGCAAATGATGACTTTCAGCAGCAGATTTCTTGAGATGAAAGCAGAAAAGTAATACTTCCTGCAAAAGTTCTTTCTTTGGTACGAAACCTAACATCTTCAATAGTAAAAAATTGTGTTCTTTGCACCACGATCTAATGTCACACTGATTATTAAAGCCTATTGGCAGTACTTTCATATATTTCAACAGTCATTTTTAGCCATGTTGAAATAATACAACTACCTCTATTAATCAACAGCGAGAATTAATTGAAAAAGCTAATACTATGAATCAAATAAATTAATTTGAAGTGCTCTGGTAAAATATTAATGTTTGTAAAATTAATAAAAAATTATTCACAAGGGAAATACTAGCAATCGCCTTCTCAGATTTCACTGAACTTGAAATATATTGTAATGTTATACCTCTACTAATAGATGGTAAAGTCATTCGATGTAGCATTCAAAGATTCGCGAAAAAATTGAATTCGAAATTTTAGTAACTTGTCAATAGCCAAGCAATTTACGCATTCAACTATTGTGTTGCCCGGAAAGTCCGTGCGGATTTTTCAGTAGATATTCAAATACTTAGATATTATACAAATTTTAAAAAGTTAGGTTAGTGCAATATATCAAATATGCTTTGATGAATGATATTTCAATGTATATATTAATAGATAATAGTTGTAATCAAATAAAGATTTATCTTGGTACCGGCTTAATAATGGAAGGAAGTAACGTGTTTTTTCGGTGCAAAATGCTTTCTTATTTCCATAAGCTGATAAAAGTTCCAATATTCCTACAGCAGAATTAACTACGACACAGATGATTCAACAGACGACAATCAATAATTAATTTATATTTATCAAATTATTGGGTATATGATTAAGTTTCCGCCCATTGTAGAGAGAAGTCGTTAGTAGCACTGCTTGTGTGTTTGATAAAACGGTAATGCATGTATTTGAAATGTGTGTTTTAAGCTTTTGAGCCCAGTAGTTGGCATTCGTTCGAAGCGTAAAGAAGAGTAATTTTTTGGGGTTGAAAATGTCGGAATTTATTCGAAAAAAGCAACATTTCCGGGAAGTTTTACGCCATTATTTTATTTTAAATAAAAGTGCTAAAAAAACGCATCGTTTGCTCGTAGATATTTACGGTGAGCATGCTCCATCGAATATTACTTGTAAAGAATGGTTTCGGCAATTCAACAATAATGATTACGACGTGCGTGACAAAGAACGCAAAGGTACACTGAAAAAATTTGAAGATGCAGAATTACGAGCATTACTCGAAGAAGATCCATGTCGATCGCTCGACGAGTTGTCAAAAAAATTAAATATTGATAGATCCACTGTTGGAAAACGTCTACACGCAATGGGAATGGTGCAAAAAGAAGGAAATTGAGTACCATACAAATTGAAAGAGAGAGAGAAGTGGAAAAACTTTTTGTCACGTGCGAGATGCTGCTTCAACGACAACAAAGGAAGGGGTCCACCGGAAGCGTATCGTGATTGGCGATGAAGAATGGATATTACGATAACCCTAAACGCCCGAAAGCAAGGGTGACGCCAGGTGAACCAGGTCCATCAACGCCAAAACGGAATATCCATACTTCAAAGGTTATGTTGTGCATCTGGTGGAATCAAAGGTTGTTGTATATTACGAGCTGCTGAAACCGTCCGAAACCATCACTGGCGATCGTTATCAACTACAACGGATACATTTGAACCAAGCTTTGAAAGAAAAACTACCGGAATTAGATAATAGGCACGACAAGCCGATTCTGCTACATGACAACGCTAGGTTACACGTTGCAAAACTGGTGAAGAAATACTTGGAAGGAGTGAAGTGGGAAATTCTGTCCTACCCGCCGTATTCACCGAGCATTGCTCCTTCAGATTTCCATTTGTTCCGGTCCATGCAATCTTCGCCGTAAAAACGCTAGATTTTTACGAGAAAGGAATTATGAAGTTACCCAAAAGATACATGACTATTGTACAACCAAATGACGCATATATTAGAGATTAAAATTATTTGTAACTAAAACAATGTTTCATTTGAATTTCGCTCGAAAATTCGTAGGAACTTTCCAAACAATACAGTATATCGCTGAGCTCGGAAGATAAATATTCGTCGTGTGTATAGTAAACCTTAAACTTCAAACTTAATTTTTTTCACGAATGCTTGAGTGTTGCAAATGGTTTTACCATGTGATAGTGGGATATAACACTACGACATATATCAAGTTCAATGAAATCCAAGAAGGTAGTTGCTAATGTTTCTCTTGTAACTCTTTATTAATTTTAAAATCAATATTTTTTCAAAACATTTCAAATATACGAGGGCGGTTCAATAAGTACCCGTGTTAGACGACACAAGGCGT